AAAAAAACCAAAAAAAAAAAAAAAAAAAAAAAAAAAAAAACCCGAACAAAGGCAGCTACCCATTGAGCTGTGAGGGGCAACCCCCCAAGTGGTTGTGCGCAAGGCCAACAACCCTGCCATGTAAAAAATCATAGTTACAAAAGCACCGAAAAGAGTAAAGAAAATGCTTGATAAAGCCACAAAAAATGTGCATGTAATCATTCAAATATGGTTTTTTACTTTAGTTTTCTTATCAGCAAGACAATGTAGATTCAAAAGCCGGCATTAATCATGTTTTATGATAAATAAAAAATTATCGATCTAGACAAGGACACTTTAAAAGTGTTAGAAATGTTCAACCAGGGGCTGCACTTTTTTTCCCCTTTAAAAATAGGGGCGGCATTTTAGACCGACGCAGATATTTTTTATGCAAGTGGGTTGTAAAGAGTTTGGCCCATCCCGGGCGGCACTTAGCCTATCAGCGCCACCACTTTCACCGTAAACACAGGTAAATGACCAAGCTATCATTGACAGTGCATTAGGACTACCTGTGGTGGACGTCCACAAAAGTTTACTACCAGTCAGTCCCAAGTAACTGAAGCGATGCATTTCTGTTTTTTTTTAAACACGATTGAACTCTATGAGGAAAGTAAACCTGTAGGAACTTAGTCTCCTTAGTCGCCTGAGTTCTTGTGTTACAGTCGCCTTATGACAATAGTGTATTTTATGTCAAAGTTGTGTTTAGACTATACGGTATTTTGAACGACGAAGTAGGAAGAAGTAGCCTGGTGAGAGAGAGGTGTTTTTTTGCCACCAATATCGTTACATTTTATATTTCATACCATAATAGTTTAGCGCTATAATAACTGAAGTCTAAATTTACTGATATACATTGCAGGGTAAACGAGGAATATCTGCAAGATATTTGAAACATTTCTCCCCGCAAGGTGTCATGAAAAGCTTGGCGAGCATCTAACGTGATACAAAGCGACGTGCGTCGTTTGGATCCACACCTTGAGGCCAATTAACATTTCACGTCTGCTTGTGGGTGTGGGCAAAAAAAAAAAAAAAAAAGACAATTTGTAATTTGTTAGAGAGCAGGAACGTGCTCTTAACTTTAAACAAAACGACATTTATATTTGTGAGGGAACCCTTGAACATAAAACAGGTGTTGGTGAGCACAAGCTTTTCAAAACTAACAAGGGCTTCAGGAAAAAACGCTTTGTCCATCAGTCCATTAGGATTCTCAATCAGAGGTATCAGAACCCCATGGGGATGTGGAACCCATTGCAAGGGTGTTGAGGAATACATTTAAAAATTCTAAAGCAAAACACAAAAATCTGCTCACACACGCAAATGTGAGGAAACGAAAAAATTGAATAATTTCAAGGCTGATTATATTTTTACTAGCTTAAAGTATTAGTATAGATGTCACGTCTGATTTAGAATTATGTTAATGTACATGTAGCACGTCAGCTTGAGCTTTAAGTGTATGTATGTATAGAGGAAGATTTTTTTACAAAATGATTTATTCTAAACTTTCATCTGTCATCTCTTCTCAACTCTCTTCTGTCATCTATCGCTTAGACACCCTTATTAAAATGCAATATAGAAATGTAATAGAGGCGACACATTTATAATAATGTATGCACATAACTAACCTAGCAACTACTTAGAATCTGGATGAGAGTTGGGGAAATGTTTTAATATCCAGAAGTATTGTAGGCAAAGGAGTAGAACCACTGCGTTAGAGGTTTCATTTTAAAATGTTTAAAAATTGACCCGTCATGGAGAGTCATTCTTAGGAGTTTGGGGGCCCTAAGCATGGAGCGTAGGTTGGGGGCACCGGAAGGGGGGTGGGTTTGGGGGGGCGGGGTGGAGCTCCCTCGAGTTTGAGGAGAAAACACCACCCACCATTGCGGCACCTCCATTCTGCCTTCATCAATGTTTCCTCTTTTCCATTCCCACGGCCAAGCCCCCGATTTCCTGTCAGCCACCCCCAAAGCTCCCCCCCCCGATGCTTCCCTTCCCCTGCCTCCGAATTCAA